CGCTCTGTTTTTAACAAAATTTTCGGCAGTATCTGCACGTACTCCTTCGGAAATATACATGGAAAGCAAATTTGCCGCAAGATCGTTAACCTGATTTGTGAATGCCGTAGCGTCTTTCCCGTTTTGTTTTATATTTGCAAGTTTTGCTTCAACTACATGAGATTTCTCGCATTGGCAACGTTTTTTCAAAACTGTAATTACTCCGTCTAAATCTGCAACATCAGCTGTTACCGCCAACCTTGCTTTTCCCGTTAATCTAGTTTTTACAAATTTCAATGCATTTTCATTGTGACCTTCCGAATTTGCTTTTAAAAGTTCTAACGCATCTACGAATGAAACTAATTCCGGCGCGTCACCATTAAAGGATTTTGGTAGCAATTTGTCAGCGAGAGTAAAGAATTCGGTTAGTGACAGAGGCATTGTGTCTTCCAGTGTTACGTTATTCAGTGGTAGTTCGTCAGTTTCGTTATTTCCGTCAAGGTCAATGTCGATAATTTGTGTCACTGATTTGTTTATCCTCTCAGTAGGAACCAGTGGCACTAAATAATTAAAGTCTAACTTAGCAAATGCTTGTATTGTTCGATCCCTAAGTTGATCAAACGCTTTTTGGATCCATGCTTTATGTTCCGGGGTGAATCTAAGCCAATAAGAATTTACAAGCTGTACAAACTCATTAAACAATTTTATTAAATTTTCTGCATACCCATAGAGCTATACCTACTCATAAACCTTAAAATAATTACTTAATAGGCCAACAATATTAATAAGTGGGGGAGAGAAAAAAAAATGTATTACTATACCTTTTATTTCAGATAGCACGTCTTTTGGTCCTTTCGAACAGCTAATGGTTACACTTGTGCGTTCGCTGCCACTCTTCGTATCGCCCTGTTTTTCACGTGTCGCGTATACATCTTGACCACTTTGAACCCGAACTCCAAAACCAGAATCGCAAATATGATGTAAAACATGGTCTTCATATCGCTGGACATTCTTATTTCTGATTCTTGCACAATGAAGTTTGAGTTTACCACCCCGTTTTCGTTGAGATCTTGGGTTGTCGTCGCTTCCTTACTGCTAGATTTTCCCATTTTTAACTTGTCAGTACACTAACTGTTGATTCATTGTCACGGTCGCCATGTAATGTCCTCGTTGTGAGGGAGTTGGATTTATTAAGAATTACTAATTATTTATTGCTATTTCAATGTTAATTAATCAGCTCCCTTGCGGTAAACGTGTGCTCAGAATGGATTTCCTCATATCCTCCTTGGTAAATACTTTTGATTTTTTTATTATACCATGGTAAATATGTACTGATAATTTTTACTCCTTAAATAAACCCAAGGTTACAGCACAATCACTTGTAAAGTTGAATCTCTGCAAAACATTTACTTAAATTAATTAATAATTACCTAGTAGTCGCAGCTATGGAAATAACACAGTTCTGGTCTTAGAAAAGGTATGATGGTAATGGCATAGTTTGGAAAAACCTAGACGTAAATTTCGTCGCGGTTATTTACGTAATCGCTATCTGTTTGCAAATCAACTTTAGAAATTACATAGGTAGGCAATAAAAAAGCTCGACACCTTATTTGTCATATAATAAACCGCCATACATTATGTGCAAATAGTAACATTTATACGGCGTCAGCGACCAACAAGGGAAGTGTTGCTCTTATTCGACGTAACGATGACTTTCGCGAGTGCTTTTCTTTTAGTCTTCTTCGCTAGAACTGTTTACGGTAAGTCGTTTTCAATGTGTTGGACTTTCTGGCATTAAATGTGATTTATTTGAGGTATTTTAGGGTTAGGGGTTAATAATGCAATTATAGGCACATGGGTCATTGTCATTATTTATCAGATTTGTCGGCCCATATCTTTATTTATTGAGTGACGGATCATTCGCAACTCATTATGAGACACCTCCTTTGTGAAAAAATTAACCTGTTTAGCTCGAGCCCTCCCAATGGTGGTTCATCGTGCTCATGATTCAAATCAAAGGACATAGTGTCCCTTAGTTCTTATTTATTCCTCTTGATTACTCTGAGTGGCGTCAACTTTGCATCCTAGTTGTCGCCAATGTCATGCAGAGTGAAGTTGATACGTTCAACCATGGCCTAATAAGAGTATATAATAATAATAATAATAATAATATTTATTCATGTTTTATACACATGTGCATGTACATTCGTCAACATCAACAATAGAATTTACATAAATTAACTAGATAGAAACTATATACGATTAACATTATAAGTTAACGAGAACAAACAAGATCACACTTTAGGAACCCTTCATACGAGTGAACGCTTTATCATTGAGGAACCTTTTAATTTTATTTTTGAAGTCTCTAGGAGTATTTTAATTGTATCCGGAATGTGGTTATAAAATTGTTTGGCCCAGAATTCAGATCCGTTTTGAGTTTTTGACAAGCGACAGAAAGGAACACATATATTGTCCTTAAAACGAGTATTATGTGTATGTACATCAGATTGTAGCGTATACAGGGAAATATTTTGTTTAGCATAACAAAGACAAGCCAGTACAAAAAGACAGGGAAGGGTTAAAATATTTAACCTGACGAATGCTTGTTGACATTCAGATCTGTAAGGTAGTCGAGATATTATTCTAACAGCTTTGCGTTGTAGTCTAAATAGAGTTCGCCAGCAAGGCCATGCGTTCAACCTTCTACTCTTTACTCTTAAGGGTCGTCCACACCTTAGGACTGAAGATATTACGAATATGAGCTACATATGTCTGATGTATATTATCACTGTTGGCATCATCCAGCATCATTGTTTTAGGTAGTTGCCCGGGTGATTGTCCACATACAAAACTCGCGTTCCTCTACGAAAGTTTCAAATGCGAACCGAAATGCTCCAACGAAAGTAACTGCCCGGTGGAATATAAGTGCGTTGACCTTGCAGCCAACAGCAACGTCTGTTATTTCAATGGAAACTTTTATAAACCTGATGAAACCGCCCAAAGTAGCTTGACATGGGAACAGTGCATGGGATGTAGTTGCGGTTTGCAAGAGGTTGGACACCCGTACGTATATGCTGCCGTTTGTTTGAATCCTTCTTATTAACCACCATTTCAGTGGGACATTTAATTGTTACTATGCAGACTGCATTATGTTCAACGTTACTGAAGGCTGTCGCCTCGATGAAAAGCTGGGGGAGTGCTGCTATACATCTCAAGTTTGTCGTAAGGGCTTACGGTAATTGGTAGATAACTATTTTATCCCAGTTTTGTAGCACCGTTTCAAACGTGTACGATAGCCAAGCAGCGGTTTTTAGAAGGTCAAAAATTTATCCATCCAACCGAGAAATGTACGAAGTGTTATTGTGGGAAAGGAGAAGGTGGCGCGGGTGTAGTAAATTGCGAAAGGCAATACTGCCTCGATTTGTTATTCTTCCAGTATGAAATTATGAGAAAGTGCGCACCTTTGTATCAAGAAACTGACGTGTGTTGTCCATCTGGATGGATATGCCGTAAGTACCTACCGCTTCTTTCAAACTACTCTTCCCTCGTTATATTACGCAATGTAGGTAGGTATAGATGATATTGATAATAACTGTTTCCAAGACTTTGTGATTTTGAATACTGGAATGTAATTGATTTATTTTCTGCAAGCTTCAATCGGGACTTGAACTGCATCTTTTTTAGTCATCGAGTAGAGATATACAGTGCGTTTGAGATAAGAGGGTCCCCTCAATATTTCTTTTATTTGGCGAGATACGAAAAATTTGCTAAATATAATTTTATATGTAACATTACAACCTATCTGATCGCACATTCAAACTTCCGGCATTACTTCCGGTTTAACTGGACTTTTGTTTTTCAAGTGCAGTGCCTATGTATGTTTTTTACGGTATTTGAAAAGAGCAATCCATTTTTTCTGTACGACAGCATAAAATGTGCATATAGGTAGTTGATATACAAAAAAAATAGAGAAATTCGCTATTCAGTATTTAGAAAATATATGAAATGCATGCCGTGAGCGGTCAGAATGCACTTACACGGGGAGATCGTATCGCCCAAAAGTCAAAACGAAACTTTGAGCAAGTTATTGTAGGTCTCTTCTGTGTGATATTGATATAACATATACCTAGATATGGCACACGGCATGCTAGATTTCATAAATTTTCTAAATACATTGAATCACAGATTTCTCCATTTTTTGTATATCAACCATATGCATATTTTATGTTGTCGTATAGAAAATTGATTGCCGTTTTGTGTATTTTCAAATATCGTAAAAAACATAGGCATTGCATTTGAAAAACAAAAGTTGCCAAGAAATCAGAAAATATTAGGTCCAATAATAATGTCATCTTGCCGGATCATTTTACTGATGTGGAAGCTTTGAATAATCACTTTCTGCAGTCCACTGCTTCATTACAACCTGATAAGGATTTATTGCTATTTTACAATAATAACAGGTGTACGGAAAATTGCACAGAATTTACTTTTAGGGCGGTTGATGAAGTCACTGTGCTAAATACTATTAAGTAAAGCTGTTGGATATGACGGCGTTTTTTATATATTCACGTCTAATGAAATAAGTTGCAAGTTGTTACTTTTTCGTTCTATTCAATTCGTAATAAAAATAATTACATCTCGAAAAATTAGAGCGATGCCAACTATGCATTATACGTATCATTAATTCAGAGACATAACAATCCTCCCTCCTTAATTACAACTATAAATTCAAGCGGTTTGGCGGTAAACGCAATCGGCCTGATCTACGAAGAATATCGGCTGAATCTGGTTGTACCAACGTCGGTTCTTGGTCAGTTTCAGTTGCTGTTGCTGCGGCGATTGTTGCCAAGTATTTGATTGCCTAGAAGGTGTTGATTTACCAACCGGTAATCTCATGGGTGAAGTTGAGTCAATCACCGAAGAATCGGTAGAAAAACACGCTGCTCTTGTCTCGGCTGATTTCGACATAATGGTTGGATGTGGTTGCGATGTACTTGGTGCGGCTTCTAAGGCCGAATCTGAATGATCTGCATGGATATCATCTCCTCCTTCACAAAGCGTTCGTCGCATCTGGTTTACGTGACACTTTCCATGTCTGCCATCCACTTCTACATCATAATGTGTAAGGCCACATCGTGCGAATACAGTCCCAAATTCCCATTTAACTCGTAAGTTTCGGTATGACCGTATCTGTACTTTGTCACCTGATACAAATTCTCGTGATACTGGTTCATTCGACGAATTTTCATTCATCTCAGTGGTCAGATCTCGTTTCATGAGATCCAATTTGGTTCGGATTTGTCGCCCAAACATGAGTTCAGCTGGACTTTGACCTGTTGTACTGTTCGGTGCCTTTCGATTGTATCAGCAGGCGATCCAACTTCAAATCCAAATCACCAGGCTCATCTGCCATGCAACGCAAACCCTTCTTCAGCATTTGCACATAACGTTCAGCCTGCTCATTACTTGCTGGATGGTATGGCGCCGTGAATTTGTGGCGAATACCATTTTGTTTCGTAAATGTGTCCATCTCGTTTGATCGAAATTGTGGGCCATTGTCGCTAACCATCGTAACTGGAATACCAAACCTAGCAAACGTCCTTCTCAAAATTCGAATCGTAGTTTTCGTGTCAGTATTCCTCGTAGGAAAAATCTCCGGCCACTTACTGTAAGCGTCGACGATCAATAGAAAGTTCGTGTTCATGAATGGCCCAGCATAGTCTATATGAATTCGTTGAAATGGGAACGATGGAAACTCCCACGAATGCACTGGAACTTTGGCGGCTTCCTTCTGAACCAAACAGCAACTTCGACATTTCTTTACCGTCATTTCAATATCGGCATCAATACCATTCCAAAAACAGTAACTACGTGCCATAGCCTTCATCTTCGTCATTCCCAAATGAGCATCGTGTAATTCGTTCAAAACTGTTTGTTGCAGTGATTTTGGGATGACAACGCGCATACCATAGAAAATGCATCCATCGTGCATGTTATACTTCGTTTGTGTTTCGTTCGGGTTCGATGAACTACTCTCCAGTTCGTGGCAAACTTTACGCAATACTTCATCTTTAATAGTTTCTCGTCGAATTTGTTCTCGTGTTACTGGCATGTACTCTATCTGCTTCGTTTAAAATATGCTTGTTTCGTCTTCAGCAATCTTTGTTGGTTCTGGGAAACGTGAAAAATAATCTGCATTTAAATTTTCGTGCGTGCTCCGATACTCTATTGTATAATTGAATTCTGACAAGTATATTGCGTAATTCAGCATTCGCATTGCTGAAAGCGTTGGTAGTGCCTTGTCGGGGTTAAAGATCGTCACTAGCGGCTTATGGTCCGTGCGCAATACAAATTTCCGGCCGTAGCAATATTGGAAAAATTTGTTAATGCCCCAAAAAATTGCGGTTGCTTCCTTATCTATTTGGCTATAATTTTGTTCGCTTTTCGACAATGTTCGGGATGCAAAGGCGATTGGTCTTTCCATTCCATTGGACATCTTATGTGATAACACGGCACCGAGACCAACAGATGATGCATCAGTTTCCACGATCAATGGCAATTTCGGGTCATAGTGCATCAAAACCCGGTCGCTGGTCAATTCTTTTTTTATTATATCAAACGCCTTTTTGCATTTATCTGACCAGATAAATTTAACCTCCTTTCCCAGGAGACTGTTCAACGGTTTTATCTTCGTAGCCAGATCGGGTATAAAACGGTGATAATAATTTATCAAGCCCAAAAATGTACGCAGTTCCTCGACGTTTGTAGGTGTTGTAGCATTGCGTATCGCAGTGGTCTTATCATCCAGAGGATGCAGGCCCCTCGAATCAATTCGATGGCCCAAATACTTCACGTTCGACTTGAAGAATTGGCACTTTTCCTTCTTCAAGTGCAAATCGTTGTCTCGCAGTTTCTTCAGTACGTTTCTTAATCTTTGCATAGTTTCTTCGATCGTTGATCCTTGCACGATTATATCATCAAAGAAACAGGCTACCCCATCCAATTCGTGCAGTAGTTGATCCATAAAGCGCTGCCAGATATTGGGTGCAGTCTTTACTCCGAACATTAATCTATTGACCTTGTAAACCCCTTTTTCAGTACTTATGCTTGCAACATTGCGCTATGTTCGTCAACAGGCATGTGTAGATACGCGCGACTGACATCAAGTGTACAGAAAAATCTTCCCCCGCTCATTTTCGCAAAAATATCTTCGATCCTGGGAATGGGGTACTTGTCATCCTTCAAAAATCGATTCAATGTCACCTTCTAATCCGCACACAAACGAATGGAGTCGTCAGATTTTACAATCGGAACCACAGGTGTTCCCCATTGACTGTGAACAACCTTTTCAATCACGCCCATCGCCTCAAGTCGATCAATTTCAGCGTTCACACGATCTTTCAAGGCATACGGTACTGGTCGAGCTCTCCAAAATTTTGGCGCGGTGTTCTCTAGCATTTGTAAATTGCTCTCCATCGTTGGAATTCGACCTAATTTATCATCGAAAACATCGCCGAATTCCTTCAAAAACGACTTCAACAATTCATCGGAATTTGCTTGCGTGACCGTGACCTCGTGAATTTCTAAGTCATTCAGCGGACGTTTGTGAAGATCCAGGATCCTAATCCACTGTCGGCCGCAAATAGAGTCAACATCATCTCCCACAATAAATAAGCGCCCAATGGTTACTTTGTTTCCAAAACTGATCGTAACATTACATGTGCCCAGTGGCTCAATTATCTCACCAGAGTAAGTCCTCAATCGAGAAGATGTGTCGGATCGAGAGCCCAGGACACACCTTCAAAAAATTTCGGTAAGACATCGTCGAAACTGCTGCCCCCGTGTCCAGTTCAAATTCACAATTGTTCTGTTCCACCTGGATGTTCACCATAAACTTGCCACTCCCTCCGCTTTTTACGCCGTGCATGTGAAAAATATTTCCAATCGTATACATTTCAAATTGATCGTCTTCAACGATGTCATCATTATCTTCGGATTGCGTTACTTGTCGAACTGTTTTAATGTTTCCCCCCTGCATACAAACGGTGGCAATGTGGCCTACCTTCTTACACTTCGCACAAATTTTGTCTTTCATGGAACATCTAAAAGCACGGTGCCCTTCGTGGCCGCATCTGTAACATTTTCCCGTGAAGTCAAATCTTGTAGTTTCTGTCGACGATGTCGGGTTAACTTTTTGTCGGCCTCCGTACGCTTTCCATTGTTCGTTGCTCCTTCACTGCATTAACAGGCTCACTATGGGTTTGCTGGCTTCTCTGGATTTCTCTGCTTTCAATTTTTGATGTGTTAATCGCTGTCGCCTCCCGTACAATTTCGTCGAACTTTGTGTCCTCTTTTAGACGCAACAACTCCTGCCGAATATCGTCGTCACGTAATCCACGAATAAATTGTGTCCGCAAATGTGTCTCGATGGTCGATTTTCCACAATCGGTACCTACATGTAAAAGAGCAATTGATGGAGAGGCGTTTCAATTCTTCAATAAACTTCATGATAGACTCTCATTCTGTATTCGCACTGCGAAGCGATGTTGCTGTGCAAATACGTTCGGCTTCGGGCTCAAATGTGTCCTCAACAAG